CCTCTCAGCCGGGCTCCCCACGCACTGCTCCTTCCTCCGCGTCTGCTCGCGCACTGGCTCGCGTATCCACTTGCTCATTCTTTCACCTGCTTGCTTGCCCCGCAGTCACACTTATGCCCTAATCCTCTGGTATCTACGCTGCCAGGCGGCGAGCAACCAGCCCACTGCTGAGAGGCTCAGGGCCATGGGGAGGCAGGCAGGCAAGTGTGGCCCTGGCTCTGACCCAGGAGGCAGCGACTAATGCCGAAGTCCTGGCGGTGAGAACTCGTGGGGACAGAAGTGTGCTGCCCTGTCTTAGAGGCATACTGAAACTGTTCCAGATGCAATGCCACGTTTAGCATTTGCTTCAACATAATGTAGGAGGGAGAGTTGGCGGAGGTGTCAATGAAACAAGATTGGCCATGAACTGATAATTGTTAAATCTGGATAATAAGCATTCATTTTACTATTTGTATAGAATAGTTTTTCAAAAATAGTTTAAAAAAAGAAAAGACCAGGAGGCCAACCACACAGGTCTGTGAGCCAGGGTCAGCTCTTCGATTGCCAGTTTGCAAAATCCGCCCTGTAAGGAGGGGGCAGGAGTGTAGAGTCACATCACTCTCAGCAGCAGCTCGGGTGGCTTTTTGAAAAAGCAGCTTCATTATCTTGACTTAATTTTATATTTGGAAAACTCAAGAGGAAGAAATATTTTATTCCATGATAAAAACTATAGAATGGTAACATTTACCAAAATCTTAGCCAGAGGGATCTGGTTTTAAAGTTTGAGAAATGCTCTTTCTTGCTTTGTTTACTTATTACGGTTAATAAGAATATTTTTACCACGAAAAAACTTCAAAATACTTTAATGACTTTCCTTTTCGATTTCTTATTAGGAGTGTCAGTCTATGCTAGAGACCCCATTCATTCACTTACTCATCCAAGAAGCTACATAATAAGGAGGGCTGTTTGCCAAGGGCTCCGCTAGGCCCCGGGACCGGCGGCGAGCAGCCTGGCTGCGCCCTGCCCGCCGGGAACTCACACCCTGGCTGGGGAGACAGCCAGCCATCAACCTACTGAAGTACAAAGACCCCCGTTACCTGAGGGAGGCTTTTAAATTTTGCTTTTTTACTTAACTACAATATCCAGCATCGAGTTATTTTTTCATATCGCTGTAATTTTTTCAAAAATATTTTCACGACTGTGACTTCTAAAAAACTCCTTAGCTTCTTGTTTTTAGAATGAGCCCACCTCTTGGTGAAACCTTCCGCATCCGGGGCTCGGGANCCACGGGGCCGCCTGTGGCCTCGGCCGCATTCTTTACCCCCGTGCCTCAGCTCCCTTCTTTGCTAAATGGCGAGTAACACACGGTACGCACCTCACAGGCCGCGAGGCCTAAATGAGCCAACTCGTGAGCACCTGTCACATATATTAAGGCCGCACATCAAGAGCAAAAAGGGGTCCGTCTTTTTCCTGGAGCTTATGTTGTAGTTGGGGAGACAGACAGTAAAGGGTTGTCACGTGCCCTTTAAATCAGGGAGGGAGGGAGGAGAGCAAAAGAAGAATGGGAGGAGGGAGGGAGGAAAGTTAGGCGGGAGGAAGGGAGCAGGAGGGAAGCGGAGGAGTGGAGAGAAAAGGGGTGAGGAGAAGGAAGGCCCGGAAGAGGGTGGG